GTTGGCGATCGTGGTCGGGGTCTGAGCATTGAGCAAGGGAAGAGCCGCCGCTGTCCGTCGTCAGCTGCTGAGCACAACATTGCTCTACTTCTTATCATGATGTATTGGTGCTTGATGATATTACTACTACATTCGGGCTTCGTGTTGTAGTCGTGTGATTATTGTGAAGTGTTGAACTTGCCACTGGGTGATGTTGCTACGGAACTGCTGCTGTCAAAAGCAGCCATGTTGGCTGCGTATTCGAGCACTGCTGCGAAGATCAAGGTTGTTGCTATGTGGTACATCCGCAATTGTTGAAGGTGCTACGAAGACAAGATTGTAGCCTGGTTAGCCTGTTATTGGTGTGCTTCATTCGATTGTAGCCCTTTTAGGTAGCGGTCGTTTAGTTGAAGGAGGCGTGTTGACATGACGGGGGCGGTCAGACCTTACACAGGGGATATTGGTGCGGATTAAGGAGGTGTCAAAGTGTCAACAGCTGGTAGTTTGACTTCATTTGACCAAGCTGTAGCTGCGTTTTATTGGTCGTCATTGCGAGGCCCTCAGACGCGTGAAGAAACCAATGTCCTCTCCTGCGAGTTGAGTCTGTCCCATTCTTGAATCTCGAGAGTTTGAAACCCCTTACTTTTGCCCTTCTTACTTTCGGTCTGATCCTGGTTACGAGAGGAAGGCGGCAGGCGGGATTGCAACTCGTAGGACCGCAACAAGACTCTGTGGGGAGTCAGCCCACCGATTGCGGGAGCTCTGCCGGAACCCAGGAGGAGTTTTGGAGGCAGGGAACTGAGAGGTAATCTTTTGTTTTCCCTCTATAAACTCAATTATAACCCTTATCTGTACATCTTGCTACGATTTGACTGAGTGAATTGCAAGTCTCCCTACTTTGACTTTCAGTTTGACTTCAGGACATAAACCAAACTTGATAAAGGAATTATTGTGCGAATTCGGTTTCAGTTTTTGTTGTACGGATTGAAAGCAGATTGTGGGATTGCATCTGGGGGAAGGATGAGAGGAAGGCAATATTACTTGTGTCTGACCGGTTTCATCAAAGGTTGGGCAAGTCTCAATAAGTTTGGGGAGAGCCCAGTGCTATGTTTATTTCTGATTGCCTGAAGGACCAGATAGGTTCCCATAAGATTGG